TTCATTAATATTTAATTTATTTTATACATATTTTTTTAATATGGTAGCTAATAAAATCTAAGATCCCTTAACTTATGATTTATTTCTTGTCTTTAAAACACTCTTTCTTCACTCGTCCATTTCATTTGTTGCCGATTACCTGGCTGGCACAGCATCTGCCCATGTTTACACACACTCGCTTCGAGTTTCACACGTCTGCAGTGGGATAATTTAATCAACTCGCTAACAAACATATCTGCAGTGCCCGCTGGTTGAGCCCGGACTCGAAGCCGTAGGAAAAGGTGCATCGACAGGCACAACTGACCAGCAGCAGAGCTCTGGCTGGGGCTGTGGCAGGGCTGCACAGTGTGCGCTTGCATAAATTTAATCAAAAACTTTAATCATATTTTATTATTACAAAACACGTCGTGGGCAAACGTACAAAACTTCTAATGCCAATTACATTTGCAGCGCAACGCAAACTAAGCAAACAACACACAGAATGGATGGATGAGGGGGCAACCAGGGGGTGAAGCAGTCGAACAGACGGACGAATCAGCAAAGCGACGGCTGGAGAGACGACGTAGAGCACATTTCAAAAATAATTTGGAATATTTGCTCTTGACACGTTGGGGGCCAGGCATTTGGCCACGGTCAGAGACCTGAGAGACGAGGGCGGGGTCGGGGTCGGAGACGGGGGACGAGTGTAAAAGAAACTTTTGAGTGTTGAAAATTTTGCATGTTAAGTGTGAAAGTGTCAGATGCATGTGTTTTGTTGTTGTTGGGGCAGAGGCAAGTGCGAGTGCGATATGACACAATATTAAATGAAATTTACAACAATGGCCAAAACTATGAATGCCAAATGTTGCGCATACGACACGTATGCCATAGATTTCCATGCACAGAGCTTTTGTTTAAGTCTGAAACTGGCTTTTGTTTGACCAAAAAATAAACAAGAATTAAATATTTAAACGAGTTGGCCATTAGAACAGAAGAAACCAGAAAACATATCAAAATATCTGTGGGCAGCCAGGCCAAGACTGAAGGAGTGCTTTTATTACGCAGAAAGAGATAGAGAGAGAGAGAGAGAGAGAGAGAGAGAGAAATTAATTATGAATCACTGCTGGGCAAGGAAATGCAGAAATGGCCAACAGTGCGGAAAAGAATAATTTCCTCAACTCGGAAGAGTCGTGCATGCCATTACCATGACAATAGCGAGAGCGACGGGGCAACTAACTCATCAGGCGAAGAGAATTTATGTAAACTTACAAATTGAAATCCAAAGGCAATGGGAATACCAATGGCAATGACAATGCCAATGGCAATAGCAATGGCAATGGCAATGCAATGACATGCACATTTAAATTTTGGGAGTAAGCAGTACGTGCATCTCTAACTGCAGAGGCGAAGGGAGAGCGGGGGAAGACATTAAATTATGCGCAGATGAGTTAGCATTGTCAATGACGGGCAGGGGGAGGGGGAAGGGCAATGGGAACGGATACAAAACAGCAAAGAAATAATAAAAATTGATTGGAAAACATTCGCAGCTAAAAACAAGCCATTCATTTGCCAAATGACAACAACAGCAGCGCCAAATTGCAACCTAGCCATAACGAATGCAATCCGAGATGTTCATTTGGAGGAGCAGAGCAGCGCAGAGCGACGGGAATGCCAAATGAGCAATCGAGTGAACGACAGATAGAGAGAGAGAGAGTGAGAGAGGTGAATCAGATTGAGAGGGGCACAACAGTTCAAGTTGTTACTGTCTGTCTGTCAGCTGGGCAGCCATAAAGTCAGCGTTCCACTTGAACAAGAAATTACTAAGAAGAGAAAATTATCCGAGCTATGAGCAGAACGAAAATTTGATGCTCTATAAAGAAGATCTCTAAATAAAAGATTTGCAAGCATAAATGCGAATGAGAAAGTAACTGTAGATAGTGATGAGGATGAGAATAAGGGGGGATATACTTTTAAATATTGAAATGAGAGTGTGCTCTATTTGATGTATGCTCTTCAAAAAATCGTATAAAATAAAAAAACTGAATAAGGAAGGACTTACTAAAAGCAAAATACTAAAAAATACTTATTGAATTATCTAGCGTCAAGGAATTTTGCTTTTTTTAATTATTTTAT